TATATATATATATATATATACACACACACACACATACACACACACCGATCAGCCATTATGACCACCCACCTAATATTGAGCAGGTCACCCTTTTACCACTTAAACAACCCTGATCTGTTGAGGCATGGACTCCACTAGACCTCTGAAGGTGTGCTGTGGTATCTGGCACCAAGCCGTCAGTAGCAGACCCTTTCAGTCCTGTAAGTCGGGAGGTGATCGGCCTCCATGGATCGGACTTGTTTTTCCAACACATCCCACAGATGCTCAATTGAATTGAGGTCTGGAGAATCTGGAGGCCAAGTCATCACCTCCAACTCCTCGATGTATTCCTCAAACCATTCTTGAACCATTTTTGCAATGTAGCAGGGCGCATCATCCATCAGAGAATAGCATTCCCATGAAGGGGTGTACTTGGTTAGCAGCAACGTTTAGGTCAGTGGTAAATGTCAAAGTGACATCCACATGAATGGCAGGACCCAAGGTTTCCCAGCAGAACATTGCCCAAAGCAGCACACTGCCTCCGCCTCACTTTAACTGTCATTGGTAATAATGTTATGGCTGGTCAGTGTATATATAAACATTTGACAAATCTTCACATGCTCCAGTAATTTTTGAATTTTATAACACGAGCCACCACAACCACATTACAACTACAAAAACGTACATAGAAAACATACTTGTAAAACAGCAAGGAGTGACCCTGTAAGGCAAGGGTGTCAAACTCAATTTAATCGTGGGCCGCATCAACATTATGGTTGCCCACAAAGGGCCTGTTAGACTATATAAATGTATCTAATCTTTATCATAATTGCCTCTGCATTCGATTATCACCGGTTTTAGTAATAACTTAATACCTAGATCTGAAAGTAGAAGTCTAGGAAATGGCCTGGTGGGCCGGATTCGGCCCCTGGGCCTTGAGTTTGACACATGTGCTGTAAGGTCACCAGCCAACCCAACAGCCATTTATGTGAAAAGGAAAGGTCTCACAAAGGAAGAACGGTGAACCCAAACCCCTTTTATTGATTCTACACCAAGCGTTGTGTACACAACCATTTCACGGCAAAGAGCCGTAACAATTGACAATTTGAATGCCAACACTTTCTGTTTATATATCGTAAAGGTTACACAATGACTTCTATTAGCATAAGCATTGTCACTAATCTCACCCTGCTGACCTTTCACAAGGTCAAGACATACATGACAAGACATTATACGGTCTTGAAGACAAAGCTAAAACAGAGAATGCGTAAATATCTCTTCATATAGTTCTAATTCAATGCAGTTCTTCTTCTCGCCGGATCCATGGGCTAACATCACCATAGTCTTGTAGTTGTTTTATGCTCGCAATGGGTGACGTGACATCTACTAAACATTAGGATTCCTGCTAATAAAACTCATTACAATGCATGCCTTTTGAAATGTTTACAGAATTGCAAAATGCACATTATGACAACGTCATCGATGTAGTGATCAATAGTCACACATCTCTCTAATATATGTTGTCTGTACAGCAGGTGGTCTGTATGTAGTACAGCAGGTGGTCTGCATGGCAAGTTAATGTTCCTGTGCTTTGCCTATTGTGGGTAGTAATGCTACACTTGAACATCTGTGTGAGTCTTACAAAAGGTATCATGAATGAATTATTAATTATGATGATGGTTATTTTAAAGATCTGGATTCTCCAAAGAACCTGAAGAAGGTTTCCCAAACCGATACCACTATCACGCTCGAATGGAAGAATACCCAAGCCAACGTGGATTTCTACAGGATTAAGTTTGCCCCACTCTCAGGAGGTGATCATGAAGAAATAACTGTGCCCAGGAGTAATCTAGCTACCACCAAGGCTACACTTACAGGTTAGTTCTTGTAACATTGTATTATGTCATGAATCATCAACCCGAGAACAAAAGAAAAAAAACAATTTGCAGCTAACTAGTCCTATGATGATGATTTAATCAAGCCCAGAAAATACCTGTTGACCTTGACAGAAATGTTGTGTTCTTGTCACTTCCTTTAAGCAGCTGAGTTGGAAGCATGTAAACTATTAATCTCCTTATTCCCATGTCACGGAGATGAGCAAAAGCAGACATATTTGAAGTCCAGCATGGGTGACAACTAGGGCTGCACCAAAACCGGTTTTTGGTATCGAGTACCGATATTTTTTTTTTCTCAGTACTTGCCGATACCGAATACCGATACCTGAAGTCCTATTAAGGAAGCAGGGTGGCGTGTAATGACTCACCACAAGGGCCGGATTTACTCTCTCTGCTGCCCCAATGCCAGGTTCCTCAATGCGCCCCTCAATATGCATGCTGCATACAAGTGCTCTCTGTGACATCGCCGAGATCACTTGTACAAAACAAGTGGCGGCTTCCCTGCTGTACATTTAGCCCTGCTTGCCCAAATCAGGGCTAAATGTAGAAAACAACTACCCGCCTGGCACCCGGAACTGCATGTCCCAGGTGTCGGGAGATAGGAATTCCTTACCCCTGCTGCCCCTCTACTCTCTGCTGCCCCAAGGCCGGGCCTCAGTTGGCCTTGTGGGAAATCCGGCCCTGCTCGCCACCCGGCTTCCTGATTAGCCGGCTCCATGCTCCTTCGTCATGGAGATGGCTTTCTGGCCCATCAGGAAGCCGTTGGGGGGGTAATAATAAAAAAACACCTTTACGTGTTGCACTCCTTACCTAAAGCCCCTTGTAATGGGGTGGGTGCTCGCAGTGACTCGCCGCTTGGCTTCCTGATTAGCCAGCTCCCCAGCCAATCAGGAAGCCGGGGGGTGAGTCATTACCCTCCCCCCGGCTTCCTGATTGACCGGGTAGCCAGCTCCATGCTCCCTGGTGACGAGCATAGAGCCAGCTTCCTGGCTAATCAGTAGGCCGGGTGGCATGTAATGACTCGCCACCCAGCTTCCTGATACCGGACGTTCTGGTATCGGGATAAGGATCGGGAGTATTTGGGCGAGTACCAGTCCAAATACTCGCTTTCGGCACCAATACTAGTATCGGTATAGGTGCATCTCTAGTGACAACTATAGCTCCCTCTTTAGATACAGTGAGATGAGAGAGCATGGCCACTCTAGGACAGGAAGTGTGTTGTTTGGAGGATTACCAAGGGGAAAAAAAGAAAGCTAATGCAGCCACCACATCTACATTTTTGTATTGGGTTTATAAATACTTTAGGTATTGATGCATAAGAACCAAGAATGGTTATTTTAAACTTTGCTGCAATTTAAATCTCTTTTAGGTCTCAGGCCCGCAACTGAATATGGCATCGGACTGACTGCAGTTAAACAGGACCGAGAAAGCTCTCCAGCCACTATTAATGCAGCAACAGGTAAGGTAACAATGCAGACCTCGGTATAAAGCAGCACTTGCATATGACACATGAACCTCCGAGCCACTACACAGCCACGGTGCTCTCCTATGCTCATGTCCTCTCTCTGCAAGCCACTAGATACCCAGTAACTTGTATGCAATCCTAGTACTTATTTACTTCTTTCCTATGCTGATATAAAAACCAAGGTCGTGGCAAGGGAGGAAGTTGCCTATTACCAACTATGATTAATGAAATTTCTTGTCATGTAGCATTAGGGTTGGCTTACTAAGCCATAACGTGTACTGAATTCCTATTATTTTATGTATTATTTGCTGCCTTTTACATAGGGCTCTGCATCTCAACTACTATAATCCTCCCCACATGCCCTTACTTTTTGCCCTCCAGCAGCCCTTTTCAGATATATCCACCTCATTGTTTTCTATCCCCCAACCTTCTTATAAATCTCTCTCCTAACACATCATACCGCCTTCCATTGAGATTGCTTCCAAAGCATAAACCTTCTTTCTTTCACCAAGACTTTAGCCATGTGTTGTCCATGGCACAGGGCGGATTCTAAAGCTGTGGTTCCCAACTGGTGTTCATGACCCAAAAGGGGGTGCCTGCCTTCCACTGCACTTGGTGAGCGCAACACTGTCAGTTCTCGTGCCCAGCTGCCATTCAAAATATGCTGGCTGGCGCCGAATGTGAGCTTGAGGTGGGGTGGGATGGGGCTATGGCTGCGAGGGAGCTCCATCTATATGTGCATTGCTTTCAGTGCCCTCATGTGAAGGCAGTGATGTCCCATTCTGGCTCCCGGCACATCTACAGGGTACAAGCAATGCACGTATGGATGGAACTTCACCGCAGCAGCTCACACTGAATCCCTATAATTTTTTTTGGGAGTGTGCGTGTGAGAATGTCTGTGAGTGCGTGAGATTGTGTCTGTAGTTGTGTGTGTCTGTCAGTGTTTTAATTGCAAACTACCATGCAGTGGTACCTACTGTTCGTTCTGGTGCATAAGGTGCGTTGCCATTAGTGTGAAACACACCTCCCACCCACAGGTTGATCGATTGCACTGGAATATGCGGTACCACAATTCCGCGCTTTCCAGAATATCTGGACTTTGGTCG